CTTTAATTGCCGGTAGTTGCCTTCTAAGATCTTCTGCATCATGCACTCCATTGAGAATCATAACAAGATCCATGTCGCACCTTCCTCTAACCGATGTCCCTTTGCCAAGTGATCCTCCCTAGATAACGCAGTGGAGCTCATTTTCAGTCCAATCCGAAATAAGGACGTTGTTGGACTGGGGCCGCTTGTTCGAAAGGCGTTTAGCTTAAACGGTGGATAAGCCAAAGTTTAAAAATACTCTCATAGGTCTTGTAAATGACTGAAATTGCATCTTACGCATTTAATATGTACTTCCATTGACAATTAAACCTTTTACATCGAAATATTTCAGCTCAGTTGTTCAATAAATAGATCAATTTTAACTTATCCACCGCGTTTAAGCTAAACGCCTTTCGAACAACCGGCCCCTGCGCGACAGAGTTGAGTTATAATGTGACAAACAAGCAGGTAAGGGACTGCTTACATGAGTCCAATCACCCAAGATTCGGCGAAGCGTAAGACGATTCTGAGGTATTGAAATAAGTCTTTATATATGAAACCAAACAAAATCATGCTATTGTCAGAAACTTTACATTACTGACAGAATCATGTTATATACGTACTTATAAAATACTCAAAAACATCTCCAGTTTCGTTTCAGGATTAACCCTCGATTAACCAGGCTCATGTAAACAGTCGCTGAGAATTAACATAACATTTTTTACATTTACAGTAACCCAATCAGAATGCATCAAATTTTACTATTTCCGGGGAAAAGTACACTGTTTTATTTACCATTTTACATGAAGTATAAAAAATTTCGATATTTAATTAGTACAAAACGAAATCCCTCTCGTTAATGTGACGACGGAAGGATTTTTATGTGCAGAGCGCTTTCATAAGTTCAAAATGCGCAGAAATTTCTTCCTATAGTACATATTAACAAGTTCTTCAAAGTCTTCCAGAAATATTAGAATGCGCGCATTTCCCGTGGGGTGGAATAACATTGTATGACACGAGCTTTGGGTTTGACATATCCTATGTAGTATGTTCATTCCTCTTACTTTATTCGATCGGAAAGACCATAGATTTTTAAAAATGCACTAAGCAACCTTTATGATTTGGCTGGGTCTCATTTGTCTTCGTAGGAATTCGCATAAATCGTCAACGATTGTCGCCATTTCCCGTTTGAATTCTTCAGTTGGTTGCAATTTATTTGCGATGAAGCTGTTGAGTTCTTTGACTGTTACCTGGCTGCAAAAATCTACGGCATCTAAAAATAAAAAGAGAGGGAAAGCAGGCGATTTATTAAAAAGTAAAGGGCCTTTTTGATACAGGTAAATGTGCTTTGATAAAATTAATCTATTATCCTGCCTGAATCCCAAATTCTTAAGTAAGTGAAGTTAGCTTTTGCAAAGCTCTTATAATTAAAAAATATGCACATTCTTATTACCTGCATTTAGTATTTCTGTTTCAAAAGTTTCAAAAGCTTCGGCTATTGCTAAACCTGCATCACATGCTGCTGCAACAACCTCGCATACTTCGCCTATTACACGTACTCCTGTCTCAACTTTCTTGAAGAACGAGTCGATGTCCCAAGTGGCATGCGAACTGTGGCTATTTGCAGACCCTTACAACGCAATAAAAAATATTTCAAAAAGTCAGCTAGCTTCCGAAAGCATCAGCTGTGGTTCAAAGTAACAAGTAAACTGTTGCAATATACAATAAGGCATTGGCAGAAAGTGAATCTGACAATTGTTATTGACTATGATAAATAGTAAAAATGTTTCTATTGTTATGGATCCAACAAGGTTTTCTGTGGGACCAGCCAAAAACAGCATGTGGAGAACAAAAGTGGCCGGTGGTTGTTTACTTACGTGAAGAAAGCGCACTAGCGGAAGCAGACCCACTCCTTGCGTTACCCAAATTTCTGTTCGTACATTCTCTTTTATGCTGCTCGAGATAGCGTTCGGCGAATAACTCACCGCAAACAGAACAGGGGAACAGCATTTTCGTGGATTTGATATCTTCGGTTGGTATAGATTGAGATTGGTATAGATTGAGGCAGCTTTTTAGCTCAGGAGCAAGCTAAGGTACAGTACGGGGAAAAGTTTAGAGAAGCACCTAGAAAAGAACATGTGGTACATTGTTCTAGCTGAAACAGTTTGTTACAGGTGGTAGAAAATTTGCGCATGCGCTAGTTAAGGCAAACTTTCGTGAACTGAAGTCAAGTTTATTAACTAATTCTTAGGGGCCAAATCACGCAAAAGTACACATTCCTTATTTTATCCAATTTTATTCATCCATACTCACAATAATGTGCGTATAGTGTATGTATAAAATAATACTGATTACTGCGATTTCCAGTTGAGCGTGGAATTGCCAAAGTTTGTTCGTTAAGTTTTGTAGTTTGAGAGCAATGTTTGTGACGTCATCTAATAATGTTGTTAGGCGACGCTCACCAAGTTGTCAAGGGAAACTGGCGAGTTTGCGACTGTAAATAGAAGATCTGTATAGCGACCACTATATAGCGACTAATAGCCGCTATTTTTACAGTGTCTATTTATAGCCGTTTTTTCTTGACAACTTGGTCAGCGTCCCCTGGCAACATTATTAGATGACGTCACAAACATTGCTTTGAAACTACAAACGAACAAACTTTCGCAATTCCACGCTCAACTGGAAATCGCAGTAAATAGTATTTAAAACACGAGAAGGAGCGTTTTATTACTCGGGCTACCTGTGGTAGCCGAGTCTAGGTTTCGCGATTATTATTTTTTTTTTGTGTCGCAGGCTTAGTCTTCCGCGCGGACAGTCGCGTATTTACAGTGTACCAATATAGCTCAGTTTCAGTGCAGTGTATTTACCGGCTACATAGCCCGAGTTAACGCCTACCGGGCGTCTTGTCATATTTAAAACGCGCGGCGCAGTCGTCTTATTCTCAGACGAATGATCTCTCAAACGGAGTAATCCGTCTCTAGTATAAATCGGGCGCAACACGATGTAGATGGCGACATATCAAAATATTAAGCTAGGAATCTAACTAATAAGCTAATCCATATTTGGAAAACCGAAGGAATTTGGCATTATAATAATTCTATTCACATCAGCTTCTTGAATTTCGCATAAATATTCAACACAAGCATTAAAATAATCTTTAATTTCTCGCTTTATTCCTAATCGAGTTTGCCGTATATAACTATAGTGAGTGATTTGTTTAGTAATAGTTCTTGTCCATGTAAGGTTGACACTATTTAGATCAAACTATACGATTAGTATGTTTTACAGTGTTGACCTTACGGCCGACAAAAGACAATAAACAATACTATATTGCCGTTAATATATAAAATCGTTTTACACTCTTTATCACCTACACTAGCCTTTTTTCGCGTCCAGGAGAAAACGAAAAAGTTATTTAAAGTCAGCAGAAACAAATAGGATTTTTTTTACTCATATGACATCCAGATATTTAATATGTCTCAAAGACCCGACAGATTCTCAGATATATAGGTGATCAATTACAAATATCAGTATAAATTAATGTGAGACCGATCTTGGTTTTCATAAAGTGTGCGCATTTAACTAAGACGAAATTGCTTTAATTAACTTTGTGAATATTATTGTAAACCTTGAATGGACGAAATTTTCATTTGCTGTACGAAAATTGCCTACAATAAACAATATTGACTCATTGTCATTGGCACTGCACTGAACAGCCCTTCGTCTTTCAAAAACGCCTGTACTTAGATTCTATGGACTACGGTGATATATCATGACTTACACGAATCGATTATTTTCTTATCAGTCAATCCAAGTGGTATAAACAAATTCTGCAGTCTTTCGCAGCACTGGAGTAGAGTCGTTCAAAATACATCAATATACTTGCATGCAATACCCATACCGCATTATGGAAGTGCTTCCACTTGCAAGGAGTTTTACCGAAAAAAGGAAATCTGCATATTCATGTAGGAAACAAGACGCCTTCTCAAGGCGTTCACTCCGGCTGTATGCCAACTGATGTACATAATTCATCCGTGGACCATGTAACCCAGGGCTTCTCGGTCAAAAATGAAGTTGTTTTGGGTTCCCTGTAGAAATGCTAACTTCTGTCGCCCAAAACTACGACGACGAAAAGGAAAAAAGACCATGGCATTTTAAGACTCCGCTGCACATACGCAGGCAGTAAATAAACCTAGAAAGAAATGGCAGGGGGGGGAATGCTTTAAAATCAGGAGGATACATCGATATGTTTGATTTTTTGTTTTCATGCATAAATACTATTTATAAAATAGAACATACCATTTGTAACATTTTCGACCGTGATCGCTAAAAGTATCGGCGACACTAAATCGTTGCCTAACTTGCTCTACGTATTTGCTTCTTGACTTTTTGAATTGTGACTGCTTTTTTCGTGATATATACTTTGTGATATACAATGAAATGCCATGCAGCTTTTATTTTGCGTCGTTATTAAGTGGAAACACGCAACAAATGTAGTTACCGTATAATAACCTGATTGATTACCTGTTTGTACTAATTCGACAAAAATTGTTTGTTTGCTTTATTTTTTATATACATTGCAAACAAGAGTCTAAGCCGTATAATACTGTAGACCAATCCCATAGAGTAAAATGTATATTTGAAGGGATATTTTGGTCATAGCGGTGTATCAAAAAGTTCTATTTTGCATGGAATTTGATTTGGACGCATCTCCCGTATAATTTTTCGTATATCATAGAAGAATTAAAAAAGTTCGTCTCGTGCCTTTATGGTGTCATAATGCACTCGAGGAAATGTTAGAAGAATATTCGAGAAATTTGTAACACTCGGGTACGCCAATCTACTTCTCCCATCGTGTATTATTGTATTATAAAGGCACGCGACTCGTTTTTTATTTATAAATTACTTCATCGTTCTTCTTCTTTATAATGACTATAGTTAGTTTAATAGAAACGTAAAAAAACATATTTTTCAAAATGTTTACTTTCTACAAGTTTCTATTATTTTATATTTCACCCTACTCCTCGGTTCGTTTCCTTGTCGTTAACCCGACAACTAAATCATGGAACTTGTGTTTGTTACATATTCTTCAGCAGTCATTCTCATTTATGGAAAAATCTAATTATGAACTGTACTGTGTAGACAATGCCCGTCTTTGTTATTGATAGTCTTCCGTTTGACTAATTACTTTCTAGAGCCAGTAATCAGTGGATTTCTTTTGTAAGTGCAATATATAGCTTACAATCGAAATCCGTCGGGCTGAACTGCATATATTAACACCATTATTATCCTACTAGTTACGCCCCTGTCAGGAATGAATGAAAAAGATAAAAATGGCGAATAATTATGGGTTTATTTCCAACTAAACGAAGAAACTCCTTCCATCATAGCGCTTTTAAGGACGTTTTTTGCTTCTTGTCTGATTTCCTCCCAGTGATATCCGCTGCACACGTTGTTTGTTGGATTAGCTGGGTCAAGTACCAATGGTCTGAAAATATTAAGACGTAGTTTTATCAAAGCCCGTTTATAAAAGCACGGTTATAAGTTTTAATATATATCATTTTAATACATTAGAGATGCCTGCAGGGGACGCTAAATGAAGAAAAAATTAAAACACCTTTCGAAAGTGCAGTTTCCAAGGTACAAAACAAATGATCAAAATACGAGAAAAATATGTAGGGGTGAAGATGACAAAAAAGTAGCTTTTTGTTCATAAAACAGATTTGTTGAATTATGCCAGACTGAAAAAAAAATAGTCGGTCTATTGTATATTTATAGCTATGCGCCATTTTGAGGGTACTTGACTTACCGTTGACGTAGAATTTGCGAAGGTATGTCTTTTGCAGAATAGTTCTCTGTCCAGAAAATATTTAGAAATTGGTAGTCTTTCAATGCTTCCATGATCCCATGGAACGCTTTCAACGTGTTAAATGTGCCATCACTATATCTTGTGTTTTCTTCCCAGTAATATATTGTAATCAGTTCCATAAGGTAGGAATTTGGGATTCGTTGACCATTCCGGGATTTCCCAACCATTTTCTTTTTCCAGTATTTGACCAGACGAATTAAATTTTTCACATTGGCTGGATACTTCTTAACAAAGTCCACCTTTAAAAAAATGAGATTTTAAAAAAAAGTACATTTTTGTCCACAATAGCTGACATGAGCAGAGACATAAATTGAAAACTTTCACATGAAATATGAAAAATTGTTTAAAAATCATTGCAATTTTTAAACAGTGCAAAATAGTACAATATTTTAGTTTCACTAGTATATACCTGCCATTTAGATAATGCCGCTCTATAAAAATCACTGTGGCTCTTGTCGAATCTCATTTCACAGTAAAGAGTTTGCAGATCTAAAAAGAAAGCAAGCAAAATCGTTTTCTAAACTTTGTACAACAATTGTGGGTTTTTTATAAAAGAAGGCTCACTACTGTTCACTTCAAATCGTTGTTGTAGCCACCGATTTCGTGCAACTGTATGATATCTCACAAAGTGAATGTATTTTAGTTGTAATACATTACAAGTCCGTTATAACGGCAGATCTACAGCTAATTATTCCATTCGGCAGAACCTCGACTGAACAAACCAAAATCAATAGTTCAATGTACGTTACATCGTTTTTAATCGAGAACCAAGCACCTTCATGAAATGAACGTGCGTGATAAAAATAGTATAGATTTTGTTCTGATGTGATGATGCTAATTTCTTTAAAATTTATATTGATTATATTATACAAAATTAACCAAAATAATGGATAGGGTAATATTAAATTTTATACCTGTAAATCCAAACGTGGGCAAGAGGTCGACCTTAATTGGTCCGTGATCTCCGTTGACTTTGAACTTTAATCCAGATTTGGAGTCCTTTGCCTTTAGAGTTGGTCCTCCATATCGTGTCAATTTGCTTCTAATCTCTTTTCTAATTCTTGGTAGTTCTTTTTCGAGATCTTCTGCATCTTCCAGTTCATTCAAAACCATCACAAGATCAATGTCACACATTCCTTTGACGGCTGTCCTCTTTCCCTGTGATCCTCCCTAGGTAATATATGCAATAAATAAAAATAATACCTAGAAATACATGCAAGCAGCAACCACGGCCCCAGCTATTTCAAACCAAGTACATAATTTTCTGAGCTAAACCGACCTAAACTTACATTATGAAATGACTCAAAACTCGAATCAGTCTATATTGATATTCTATCGAATATATTATAACTATATTTTTAATCTTTCCACAAATCAAATACACGGAGATATCTCTTTGGCACAGTGCTATAACTTCTTAAAGATTCAATAACGCGAAATTCCTTATCTTCTACACGCAATTTAAAAAATATAAAACTTTTTTGCGTATATCTGTAATAGAAATACACGAAAATTAAAAAAAGATGGCGGATGTATCTCGATAGCCGATGTTTTTGATCGCTAATATCTTGCAAAGTAAAGCAGATAAACAAATTTTGTTAAAAGGCTTTATAAGGAGTGTAAATTTTCTTTTCAACAAAACAAAAATAATTTTCATTGCCATAACCCTTTAAAAGGCTGAAGTTATCAGAAGAGAAGAAGTCAGTGTGTCTGAGGCTCTGGCTTTTGTTTTGCATTTTTGGTTTATTTTTGGTGTCTTTGGTGTCTTCGAAGAGACAAGACTTGACAAACTACCTTAATAATTTCATCAGGTTTCATATGTTGCTGTAAAAAGAAGCATATATTGCCAACGGTTGACTGTATCGCATTGTTAAATTCTTTAGTCGGTTGTAAATGGCAATCAATAAATGTGTTAAGTTCTGTTTCTGTTACCGGGCTGCGAAAGTCTAGGTGATCTACAAAAATAATATAGCCAAATTGTTAATTGTTAATCAAGCAAAAATGGTTGGACATCATATGCATTTAAATTTTTCATCACTCATTTCTGACTGCTTTCTAAAAAATTTCCTTCTACTACACTGTTTCCTAGGAAAAAATGAAGAAGAGATGTGGGTAAGATGTCTAACATTTAAGAAATAGAAAATTGTATACAAAATCACTCAAAATTAGCTACGTGGAAAAACTCTCTTTACGGGCTCAAAGCTAAACATGTTGGCGTGGACATTTCCGTGGACATTTTAAAATTCAGTCTCTCGGAAATGGGATTATTTGCACTCCTTTGAAAAAATCCTCCCCCCGACTTTTGCTAAATAATACAAAACTTACGTATACCAATTCCGCCCAGTCTTGGCGGGCTGTATTCCCGTTTGCCCTCAAGTTCCAGTCTGCCCTTAGGTTCTATACCCCTGTAGCTCTGAATACCCGAAGTTGAAGCAGAATCTCTCTCTATGAAAAAATCGGAGATTTTAAATTCTAGTTTAGTCAAATTTAGTTATCTAAGATGATAACTACGCACTTTCCTTAGCGATGTCATACTATTTCCTCGTATTTAACAGAATGTTAATGTTTAATTTCATTTATTTATATTTTTTTGCTTCAACAGTCTAAATATGTGGCAGCTAACCCGAATGTGATTGCATGGAGGGTCGATATTATTTATAAAGATACCTTTGCACGAACTTAAATTTTAAAGCGCGAAATATATCTTTTTAATTACATCTTTCAACCGACCTTGCAAGGATATCAATTGCCGGTGTGGAGTGATAACCACTCCCCCTACATGAGAAATATACATATCAACGAAACATGAAAAATATTATAATTACCTGAATTCCGTTTTTCAATTGCCTCGGCTACTTTTACTGCCGTGTATACAATACCGCCTAGTACAACTGCTCCTGCGACCAGTCCCTTGAAGAGTGACTTGACTTTATTAAAAGAAATATATTTCAAATATATTTATAGCTCTTTGCCAACATTGGTATAAATTGAAGGCACAAGAACATTGCTACAGGGATTTCGTAAGTTTTAGCTGTCCTCACAGGAGGATAATTTGGCAATAAAAACAAAAAAAAAACGAACTTTTAAACTGAATAATGGCTATATTTTCCGCACTGTTGGCCATTTTGCAGCTAAACTCGGCAATTATACTAATTTCCGTATGCTCTTTTTAGATGTAGTACGGGATTTATTTCCTTCATCCCTTTTGTTACCTACATCACAAGTTAGTCTATTGTGCAATAGGTCCATTATAGACAAATGCGATTATTGAAAACACTGGTCTGTCAATATCTGTCAGTTTCTGAAAACACTGGTCTCTGATTGGTCGAGCGACCTCGGATTATTACGTAAAAATCATCTGAGCGGATTTTCAAAATGGCTGCGAGTTATTTTTGTCAAAGTGACAGATGAAGAAATAAATTATTTTAATGAAAATACTGCACCTATGAAGGTAAAAAACGTGAAAAATAAGACCTAAATTAGTAAAACTGCGAGGTAAACTACGTTGTAAATCGCCCTAAAACTCTCGAAATATTTGTCTAGGTTTGTTAACTAATTTTGTTAACATGTATTTTCTACGGCGCTTTCGTTTTCTTAAAAAATTAACTTTGTAGTTATACTAAAACAATTATTACCACGGCAGGCTCGGTGAATATCGCTGTATTAATAAAAACCTGGACTTCGTCTTCGGCGAATAGTCGATCATAACGCTATTGGTAATCTCCCACTTTTTATGCTATGAATGTCTATATGATAATGGCCATGTTGGATTAAATTTTCGTAATTGCAAAGGCACTGGTTGTTTGCTTACATGGAGAGCTTTCGTCCTCGTTTTTCGACTTCGTACAAATTTTTTTATGCCGATCCAACAACAAGCGATCGGCAAATAACTCGCCGCACACATCACAAGGGTATTGCATTTTCTTGAATGTGATATTTGGAGAATATCTTCTGTCCCACTTTAGCTCGGTTTCAGAACAACGAACAGCACGACACAGCAACTCTGTTAACTGAAAGAACAATGTGGATATCTCTTAAAGTCAGCATAAAGAACATACATAATGCATAAAGGAAAATAATTGCGCTTAAGTCGGAAATAATAATTTTAAGGTTGTTACACAACGCATGTCGTATTTTGTACATTTTGGCCTGCCAATTGACAAGTTACTTAACTTTCTAGCCAATCAAAACGCTGAACCCTCGTCAGACGGTTGCATAAAAATCTTGGACACGTTGTAAGAATGGATGTTTTTGAAGCATATTCCTTTCACTGTGGTTCAAGATCACCGTGATTGTATCGGCTGAACGACTGCAGCATGTTTTCAAGTGGCTAAGAAATTAACTACGCATGCGCGAGTCTAGCTAATATTTCTTGTAGAATTGAGATAAATGGCGTCGACGTCTTGCTAGCGTACGTCTTAACTGCGGGTTCAGAGGCTACGACGTAAGCTACGTCTTTCTAGCACTTCTTGAATAATATCAAAGCAAAACATGCTTCATAGCCCCATAATATTATTGAATTATTGTCTTGATATTCACGTCTAATTTCTTTGAATTTTTTCAAAACTTTTGAAAGTAATGTCTATACTGATTTAACTTTTTCCGTGTTGGCATACATGCTCTGGTATGTTGCACTTATACACAATAGCTATATGGCATCCCTGCGTTAGTTTTGGGACGGAAGCGGTTAGCTGAATATATCTTGTTGTTAACAGTGTGAACCACTGAACCTTGCAGGTTTTACTCGAAATTTGGGTATCGAAAACTCCAGATGTGTAAAAAATGGCTACCATAGAAACTTTCTTCATAGAAACTTTCACTCTGACTCTACAGTGATGTATCAGGACTTACCTGAAAGAATTATCCTCTTATTAGTCGATTCTTTGGCTTCAACAATTTTTTCGAGCCTGTGACATAATCCTATGGCCATGCATGAAAGTACAAGTACATTTCATTATCAAATATAATGTAACAACCTGTTAAGTCATAACGAGCTCATGAGCACCGGCAATTTAGCATATGTTGCGAGATTGCAACAAAAGCGAAGGGCTTGTATTTGAAGGTGAAAATTAGTTTATTAAACCTTATCTCCAAATTAGAGAATTAGATTTTATCTCTCTATTGTAACACGATGTAGTACAGGCTGTTTCCGCCACGTTGACTTTGTCCGCGCGGGACTTGGTTTTGAACTTTGTGCTGTATTTTGTAAGTAACTCATATTGCTCTTCACCAAATAAATTTGTGTCTATTTTCCCGCATTTAGGCTCGACGGTTTGTTGATAATGATACTTTCCGCGATGCGTTAACGGCAAATTCTGGCTTTTCGCCTTTTCCTAGATTTGTTGATTGAATTGATAAATTTCAATAGCTGAACATAATAGATTGGTAAATAAAGTTTTAGAAAATCTCAACCTCGTTCCCAGGGCCTTTATTGAAAACGCGGAGGGGGGAGAAGAGAAAAAGGCCCTGGCACCGGCTGATTCTAAAACCACGAATCGTGGTTTTAAATCGATAATTAAATATTCCAAGATGGCCGACCTTTCGAAGTGTTTACACCACTTACACGTGCTGCAGCGACTTCATAATGCTTTAAATATGGGAGGTTTCCCATCGTTTGTCTTAAAGCCGTTACAGATTAAATGTTTTGAGCACATACTAAACGGATTTGACGTCGTTGCTGTTTTACCAACTGGCTTTGGCAAATCTCTTCTGTTTCAACTTCTGCCAAATTTCTTGCCGACCAAAGCTGACAAAAATATCGTTATTGTTGTCTGTCCTTTAAACACAATCATCGAGGACCAGTTAAAGGTTGCTAAGAACATCGGTATTGAGGCAGAAGTTCTCCAGCTTGTTGATCATCGTATGAAAGTAGCGGAAAGCTTGTTTAAATCGGATGAAATGACTGCAGAAACTCGTAATAACTTTTTTGCACACTACAATCCCGATATTTTTTCGCTTATCTTAGTTTTTTTCTCGACATAATTATGCAAATATCCCTTATCGCATAAATTAATTGCGTGATACAGTTGACCAATCAAATGGCTACATATGCCAGCCGGTGCCAGGGCCTTTTTCTCTTCTCCCCCCTCCGCGTTTTCAATAAAGGCCCTGGGAACGAGGTTGAGAAAATCTCTCTGCAGCAATTTTTTTCCTATTTACTGTATTCAAATTGTCATGCAGACACTTAAAGTTAAAGCAATATTCTACGACATCAACAACGTTGATAATGATATGCATGACGTCGACAATATGGACTGGCGTCTGATCAAAACCATTTTAAACTAAGCTGTCCATATTAGGAAAGGCGAAAAGAGAATTTAGCTTGCTATATTTCATAGTCAACACAAGCATTAAAGAATCTTTAATTTCACGCTAAATATAATTTCTCTTATAAAATAATATAATCGAGTCTGCCGTATAACGGTATAACGATTTCAATAATACATGTTCCTATCACAATTAATGTAAAATTTGCACTGTTTAATTTTAAATCAAGTATATAATGCAAATTACACCGTATTGAACTGCCGTACTTAATATAGACTAAAGACAACGAACAACATTAATTGCCATCGGTATTTAATAATTATTTTACCCTTCTTTGTCTATCTACATGCACTAGCCTTCTTTTGCGGCAAAGAGAAAACAAAAAAGACATTTCAAGTCAGCAGGCACGGATGGAATTTATTTTCCTCAAATGACATCTGGATAGTTTGTCTCAAAGACAAAGGCCCGATCAATTCTCAGATATTTGGGTCATCATTATCAATTACAATAATTATACAGACTACGAGATCGGCCTAGGTTTTCGTTCAGAGTGTGTGCATTTGCTGTGCAAAAATTGCCTACAATATTAAACAAAATTGTCCTTGGCACACTGCACTTGCACTAAGGGGCCACGTCCATATTCATGTTGCCACGCAAAACGTCGAATCGACGTTATCGTCTGTACCTACCCACCCAGCTCAAATAACGTCGACCGTGGCAGTCATATTTTAATGTTTCGTATTCGACTAGCAAATTGATCACGCCATTATAAATATCAGTTAATATTTTAAAACATTGTGTGTAATGACAATATACAGGCGGTTGTAGTAATTCATGACGACGACACTATATTTTGCAGCAGATCGATTGAAAAACTGAAGTGAGTTCCACGTCAGTATTCTTTTAATCTTTCTCAAATATTGTATTCTGTTGCCACACGATAACGTCGAGAGCTCGACGTAAAAACCCACCCATCCACGTATAACGTCGATTCAACGTTTTGCGTGGCAACATAAATATGGACGTGGCCCCTAAATCGATCATCGTCTTTCAAAAACGCCTGTACTCTGCTTCTACGGTGATATAACATGACTAACCTGAAGCTTGTTAAATAGTATAAGCTCACACACAAGTTATTTTATTCTATTTTAATGTCAAATTCCAGTTCCTAAAAGCGCAAGCTTTTTACAAAACAATAGAAAACATAACACAACGTTCGGGGCGTCCGTGTTCAATCTTAAGGGGCAATTCTGCCCCATGCTTCTGAGCGCCCCGTAACATCTCCCTCCTTCTGAGTTAAACATAAACGTTTTTCATCATACTTATATTAGTTTTCAGTCACGTAGTCTTCAAGATATGCCGGTCTACGTGTTTGTCTATTTGATGTTCTCACTGTGCTCCTGGGAGTGGTGTGCTCTACAGGTGGCTGAGGAATTGGTTCTTCAGATTCAGGCTCCTGCTGCTGGCCTGGTGTATTCTGCTCTTGCACTGGCAACTCTCCGTCTACATCTGCTTCTGAATCGCCTAGCTCTGCAGTTTTCCGGATATGCCTGCGATTTCTTCTATAGTTTCCTCCATCATCAGTTGCCACAATATACGACCTTGGACTAACAATCGCTTTCACCGTCCCTTTCCTCCACCTATCCTTTCCTTTCTCGGGCATCATACGAACCGCATTACCGACCTTGAGTGGTGTAAGCTTCTTGGATCCTCTATTGTAATAGTAGGCTTGTTTAGCTCTTGCCTTTTTCAGCTCTTGCTTTGTTGAATGCGTACAGGTGGGCTCAAGCAGTTGGCGCGAGATTGGAATTTGGGATCTTGTTCTCCTGCCAAACAATCGTTGGGCGGGCGAGGTAGTCATACCTTCCGATGGCGTGTTCCGGTGTTCTAGTATTGCCAGGTACGGATCTGCTTTCGCATCCAACGCTTTCTTCATAATTCGCTTTGCTATCTTCACAGCACTTTCCGCTTTCCCATTCGATTGAGGATATCGAGGCGACGAGGTCACATGCTCGAATTCATATCGTGTGGCAAAATCCTGAAACTCGCGGGAACTGTATTGAAGACCGTTGTCACTGACTACCCTCTCCGGTATCCCGTACCGTGCCATGTGTGCCTTTAATTTGTGGATTACTTCAGTGCTGGTCTTCGAGTACAGTCTATCCACCTCTATAAAGTTAGAGTAGTAATCTACTGTAACAAGATAATCTTTGTTTCCATGGACGCGTTGGGACTGGAGAACTCATAAGAGGTTCTTTCTGGTTTATTGTTCGGTACTGCGCACAAATATTGCACTTTGCGATGAGATCCTCAATGTTTTTGTTCATTCCTGGCCAATAGAATACTTCCCTGGCTCTTCTGAGTGTAGCCTGTACCCCACCATGGTTGTAGTGAAGTTTCTCTTGCATTTCAGCTCTCAATCCTTCTGGCACAATCAATCTCTCGCCTTTAAAGATAACTCCATTTTGTACGGTCAACTCGTCGCGAAACGGGTAATACACTCGTAATGCTGGAGACACCTCATTCTCTGTGTTTGGCCACCCTTCTTTCACAATTCTCACCAGTGCCTGCAGGTTGCTGTCTGCCGCTGTGTGCTCTTTAATTTGGGCTAGAGTAGTTTCTCTTACTGCTAGATTCTGCAGCATGTCAATTTGCTCTACTTCTCTTTCCGTTATTGATCTTGTGTCCTGCATGATCATCACTTCCTCGGTCTCTCCTGGTCCTTCGACATTTGGCTGGTGGGAAGTTGCTCGACTTAGCGTATCTGCCATAAACATAAGTGGTCCCTTGTACACGACTTCGAGCTCAAACTTCTGGAGTCGTAGCATCATACGTTGTAGGCGCTTTGGTGCACTTAGTAGGCTTTTTTTTAGGATTGACTCAAGTGGTTTATGATCTGATTCTACTTTTACGTGTCGACCATACAGATAACTTTCAAATCTCTCCATCCCATACACGATGGCCAGCATCTCCTTCTCTATCTGAGCGTACTGTACTTCGGTTGGTGTTAACGACCTTGACGCATATGCCACTGGTTGGTTGTTCTGTAACAGGCAGGCCCCAAGACCATTCATGGATGCATCACACTGCAGGACTGGCATTACATCAGGGTCGAAGAACCGTAGCACTGGTGGTTCTGAGAGCATCTGTCGGATTTCCTCCAACGCTTTCCCATGCACATGCTTCTCCCACCGGAATTCATGTCCGTGCTTGATCAGATCACGTAGAGGTGTAGTGATCTCAGCTAACTTAGGGGCGAACTTTTGCACATAGTTCACCATGCCAAGCAATCTCTGTACTCCCAACTTGTCTGTGGGGGCAGGCATGTCTCTGATGGCCTTCGTCTTCTCGGGGTCGATCTTCAGTCCATTCGATGTCAGACGATGGCCCATGTAGCTAACCTCTTCGAGTCGAAGTTGAATCTTGTCAGGGTTCAGCTTGAGACCCTTCTCTCTACACCGTTCCATCAAACCCCTGAGGTTCTTGTCATGGTCGAGATATGCCTCTTCATCTGTTGCACCACTGCCATAAACAAGAAGGTCATCTGCGATGACTTTGACTCCAGGTAGACCCAACAAGATATCGTTCACACGTCGTTGAAACTCTTCAGGTGCGGGTGATATGCCGAAGGGCATTCGCAACCACCGATACCGACCCCATGGAGTGCCAAAGGTTGTTGCATATGAACTGGCCTCATCCAGCTGGATATGCCAAAACCCGTTCTTGGCATCAAGGACTGAGAAACAGCGAGCGTGGGCCAAATCCGGTAGGATCTCATCAATGGTGGGTGAAGGGTAATGGTTACGCTTGAGGGCTTTATTTAATGGTTTGGGGTCAATACACAAACGGATGTCCCCATTCTTCTTGACTGTAACAACAATAGCCGATATCCAGGTCGTCGGCGTATCCACTGGAGCTATGACATTCGTGTCAACTAGTCGGTCAAGCTCTGCTTTGAGTTTGTCTTTTACAGCCAGTGGAATCCTTCGTGTTGGGAGCTGGACTGGGGAAATAGTTTCATCAATCTCTAGATGCAGTTCCCCTGGTAAAGTTCCTTGACCTTGGAACAGTTCTGGATACTCCTTAATGAGATACTTTTTGGTGATAAACTTGGGTGCATCTTTGACGCTCGGCGTAGTTGTAAAAATGTTCTCTTTGTTAACAACAAGTAAGTTCATGAGCTGACTGGCTTTAGCCCCAAGTATGGACTTGCAATTCTCTTCCACAACCATAAACTCTATGCTGTACTTCTTGTTATTCTTAGGATTGATAACTTGGAGCCTTGTCTTTCCAATAGGCTTCACTTCTGACCCATTATACATTACCAGAGTTGTGTTTGTCTTCACCAACTTCTTCTCGATAGGCTTTTGGAAACACCCTGCCAGTGTTCTTTTAGATAGTACGTTTACTGTTGCTCCACTGTCAAGCTGGAAACTTTCAAGTGTTCTGTTAATCATCAAGGAGGCACTTGGTTTGTGGGTGTATTGATCAGAGTTAACAGCACCCACCTCTTCTTTGGTCTCCACCAGAGCTATATACTCTCCTTCTGACGAGTCTGTATCCGTATTGATGCCGGATACTGGCTCTCTTTTGGTCAATGGTCTTCTCTGAGCATTGCAGACGACTGCGAAGTGGTTCTTTTTTTACACTGTGAGCATGTTTTGCCCCAAGCTGGGCATTTGAATTTATCTCTGAGATGAGATTTACTGCAAAATTTACACCTTATTAGCCCTTCGTCAGCTCTTTTCTCAACTGGCTTCCTCTGCTCTTTGTGCTGTTTTTGCTAACAGCCAACACTTTCTCATCTTCAGCTTTCATCGACTCGAGTTGCTTCGCCGTCTTCTCCCAAGACCGAACTATATCTATGCTTTGTTGCAGGGTAAGCTTTGAGACTTGCAATAATTTCTTTCGTGTGGCGTTGTCCTTAATACCCATAACAATACGATCTCTTATCAAGCTGTCTTCCAAATTACCAAAGTTACATGTCTTGGCTAATGTGCGAAGGACTGCGAAGTAAGCATCGACCGTTTCGTGTGACTCTTGATCTCTTTTATTAAAACAGTACCGTTCGTACGTCTCATTTGTTTCTCCAATACAATACTTTTCCAACTTACTTACAACAACATCGATGTCTTTTCTCTCTTCTTCATTCGCGAAATCCAAACCGTCCAAGACATCCAGAGCATCAGCTCCAATGCACGTCAACAAAGTCGCTGTTCGCAGCTCTTGTTGTACTAGGTCACTAGAGTCCCGCAGCCGTGCGGCAAGTTCGTAGTTGCGCCAAGCACGATAAAACCTTTTCCAATTCGTTGCCAGGTTACCGGTCATGGCCAGCTGAGGTGGCATTGGCAAATTCACCGGAATTTGCACCACTTTAACCTCCTGAGAAGGCTGAGATGCCGTTGAGGTTGTCGCTTGCTCATGGTCCGTCATATTTTCAATCAGACACGATCTTCTGAAATACTTCACTCGTAATTTTAACACAAGCTCCTGGAATGCTTCACACGATAAGTCTTCTAAGCGATAAGTAACTGTTTACCTCACTCCTGGTACCATGTTAAATAGTATAAGCTCACACACAAGTTATTTTATTCTATTTTAATGTCAAATCCCAGTTCCTAAAAGCGCAAGCTTTTTACAAAACAATAGAAAACATAACACAACGTTCGGGGCGTCCGTGTTCAATCTTAAGGGGCAATTCTGCCCCATGCTTCTGAGCGCCCCGTAACAAAGCTATTATTTCCTTTAATTATCAGTCAATCCGAATGGGTCTAAACAAATTTTAGAGCCTTTCGTAGCTTCTGAGTTCCGTTCAAAGTACATAAATTGATATATTGACTTTTTACTTTTTACCAGTGAGCTGCTTTTGACATATGTTACCGGTTTTTGTCACAATCATGTTGCATGTCATACTATGTATATCAGTGCTTCCACTTGCAAGGATTTTTCCCGAAGAAAGGAAATCTGCTTATTGCAGAAATCTGCTTATCTGCTTATTGAAATGAAATGCAGTGGCGTAGCCAGCCTGACGATTTTGACCCGCTATGTAAATGTCGAGCTATTATAATTATTCATGCCTTTAGAAATCTATTGTTTCCACAGTGAGTGAACACCAAAATATTAGCATAGCAGGACAAATCGACAGGCTGGCTACGCTACTGTTGAAATGTGCAAGGAAATAATGGCTACAAAGAAATGGCAGAGAAGAATGCTTTTAAACGAGGGAGATGCATGGATATTTATGTGATTTTTTTGTTTTTATCACTTAAAATATCGACAAGTCGTTGCCCAACTTGCATGCCTTACGTATTTACTTGTTGACTTTTCTGTCTGCTTTTTTCGTGACACTGATATTCCTTGTGATATATAATAAAATGCTGGCTAATTAATTTCAATTCGATTTGTGCACGTGCTCTTATCTTTTTATAATACTGTAACGTGAAAACGTATTTTCAAATCCCACAACGTAAAAATGAACAATTATCAAAATTCCAATGTGTACTAATTCGACGCGCCAAAAGGCGACGGTATAAACTAAGCCTGAGATGTAATTCATGCGACAAAAATAAAAAGATGGGTTTCTTAAATCAAATCTGAGTTTCTTAAATCCAACTGTCCGAGGAAACGCCATTCATCATTTGGCTTTCAAGGACTTCTCTCGCTGCGATGCTGATTTCTTCCCAAACGAATCTCTTGCACACGTTATTCATTGGATTAGCTGGGTCCATTACCAACGGCCTGAAAATTGGAAATATTATATGATACAGGTTTTTTGTAATGAAAGTGATTGATTGATCACACCATGTGCATTCGAATATGAATAGTTGTCCTTTGAATCCAAACTATCGCGTAATTCTATGAGAACAAAACAGACTACTGCTGCCGAAGGGTTTTACCCGAAAATGCCAGAACTTTGCGACATTGAGAAGTTTTGATGCCGGTATCAAAGTTCGTATTCTATTTTGCCTTAGTCTGCCAAATCTATTTGTCCAAATACATCTGTCTTGAAGAACAATTGGGGGCAACTACCGTCTGCCTCATACAGTAATTCTGTACCGATCGCCTGTGATATACGTCTGGTAAAAACTGTTAACAATTAAAATAACATACTAAAAAAAGAAAACTTTTCAGTTTGATTGAAAAAATGTAGTTTTGATTGTAAAATATAGTTTTTTGCATGTTTACTTTTTACGAAGTTGCTATGATTGTTGCGTTTTCAAAATGTGATTGTTTGGTTTCAAAAAGACATATTTAATACTTCAAATTGTATAACGATTCGTTAAATCTTGGTTACCGGGCTCGTGTGAACAGCCCCTTAATAAGAAAATCATTCGCACCGAAAATCGTAACAGAAATCGCATGTGCGTATTCAGTAGTGTTGTCAGCCCGACGATTTGTCCGCTATGCTGATATTTTCGTGTTCATTGACCGTGAAAACAATAAACTTAAAAATATATGAATAATTATTATAACTCGAAATTCACATAACGGGACAAATTCCTCAGGCTGGCTACGCCTCTGTGCGTATTTAACTTTAAATTTTTACCGTGTGCATCGAACGTGGTACGGTATGTCGTTTATCCGATAGTTATCTGTCCAAATAACATTCAGAGATTGATATTCATCCAAAGTTTTCATGATTCCATGAAACGCTTTTAACGTATTAAACCTGCCATATCCAGACGTATTTTCCTCCCAAAGATGTATTATAATCAATTCCATAAGGTATGAATTTGGAATTCGTCGATCAGACGAAAATGCTCGAACCATTTTCTTTTTCCAATATTTCACAAGACGAATTAAACTTTTTACATTGGGTGGACGATTTTCAACAAAGTCCACCTAAGAATTTTCAAGAGGTATTTCTTGAACCACTAGAGATGAAATGAGCAGAAACATACGCATGAAATATAGTGTACCTTCTGTTTAGCTAACGCCACGCTATAATACTCCTTGTTGTGTGTGTCAGTTTTCATTTTCCGATACAGACTTTGCAGATCTAAGAATGTATGAAGCAAAATGTTTGTTGTTTGTTTTATTGGAGAGTACAATGGTGCTTATTTCTTGAGAATTTCGATAACTTATTATATTCATCAATGCACGAGATAAAACAAGAATGAGTAGTACTACTATTTTATACCTCTAACTTTAAACGTGGGTAAGAGGTCAACATCAATTTTTCCATGTTCTCCTTGAACTGAAAATTTCACTAAGAATCTTGCGTTCTTTAGAGAGTTAGGAATTATAGCGAGTTCTGCTCTATTTTGTCTCAACTTTCCTATAACGTCATCTACAATTGTCGGTAGATTTTCCTTAAGTTCTTCTGCATCTTCCACTTCATTCAAAACCAAGACAAGATCAATATCACATTCTCCTTTGACAGCCGTTCCTTTCCCTAGCGATCCTCCCTAGATAATGCAATAAGTCACATTCTTTTTCACCCAATCTGAATCGAGAATGATGATCTTTTTCTTTCCGCAATTTTAGACTTTTATTCTTTCGCAAAACGTGCGGTTGTGCCAACTCCTTTATACAGATTACATATTTATCAGGTCGGCATTTTGTGCGTGTTCAACCGCGCCCTATGTAACGTGTCCTATATGTTTGTCATATTACTTTAGTCGATTGAAGAAAATTTCAATTTTAGTTCGCAGTAGACGAAAGTTGGTTTATATTTGGTCGGTGGTCATTTGTGAAGTGGAATACCTTTACAATTTGATCAGGCCTCATTTCTTGGTGTAGAAACCTGCATATTTTGTCAATGGCTCTCCCCATTTCTACTTTAAATTCATCGGTAGGTTGTAAGTTTTCTGCAATAAATCTGTTTAGGTCTTTGACATTCACGGGGCTGCGAAAATCTACGGTATCTAAACATAAACACCTTTTCTAAAATAAATGTGTGTGTTACGATGAAAGTACGTATGGTGGTTACTACGATCGAATACAACAGATAATCAGCAATGATGTAATTATACCATATTGTAAGTACATCGCGACAGGGATGGCGTCAAAGTGACGAGTGCGAAACTCCGACAGTTTGCTGAGAGATGTATGAACCATCTTACATACAGTTTAAATGAAGTATTGAGGGACAGGGTAGCCACGACACTGTAAAATAAGCCAAATAATTTTACTATGACCTTTGTTTTCTTTCTTCGAAAGTGCTAACTACAACAATATTTGACTTCTTTACTCAGTAATCCGGCAACCCAGATTAGGGACCGTGTTTTTCCTAACGAGAATATATTTCGAACAAAATGTTGCTATTCTGTTTCACAGGCTGTTGTTGGTCCAACTAGCCTAAAACGTCTTAAGTGAATGT